AAGATTTTATTTATGATTCCTTCATTATACACTGTTCATGTCAAAGTCTAACATTACCTAAAATATAAGAAATACATGCGAAATCGACTATCTTTTATAAATTTATGCATGGAAATAGATAAATTAAAACAGTGTATACCTCTTCTTATGATATAATTATGATGTTAGACAGACATTTCACTATTTATTGGGACAGAAACATACATGTACAAATGATGTTTGGATATATGACTCCATATATTTATTTTAAATTTTAATTCATAAATACATATACATCTCTCTTTTTTATATATGTAATTCATTTACATTTTTAAATATATATTTGAAAATAATATGCTCTCAGACTGCATAGTTATATAAAGTCTAGCTATCAATAGGAAAAAAAATGAATATGAACAACCGAAACAGCAAAATTGAACATGTGAAAGCTATACCATCCATGACCCCCCCCCCCCCCCCCGGCACCGGCTTAAGCAGAATTCAAAATTTGACATGAAATGATAAAAATTTAAATTTTGAAATATCTGCATATGTGTTAAATTCATACGGCGTTTACCATGAAACCGTGAGTATGACACGTTCGGTACCATTTTATAAAAAGTGGCGTATGGTTCCTAACTAATCTAAAGAGTAACAGAGGTTATGGAGTCTACATATCACAGGCATGCTTTCAAAAGACAAATAAAAAAAGAAAGCGATTTATCTTAAAGGAGAAACCGTAAAACGTTATTCTAATTTGGACCTAACACTGGTTTCATCTGCTGATTTTGAACATTTTTGTAAGAGGTTTTGACGTTTTCAAATTAAATCTCAGTGAGTAGTTTGTTTTAGCTGTAATGCTATATATGTGATTGGACAATGGTCAGGGATTTGGTATTATATTCCATTTTTTCAAGACTATAGATAATTCTTTTTTGAGGTTTTGAACATCTTGTATGGATTATAAATTGTAAAGTAAATTATTGCAGTGTCTGCAATAGTCTAGCTTTGCCATTGTCACTGATAGGGAGCTCATTGATATGTAAGGGGAAAAAATGCAAAGTTTAAGGATCTCCATCCTTTGGTATAGTGACACTGGCCATTCTTGGCTGCTTTTGTGAGGTAGGGAGTTATTGGCTGTATTTGAATATTTTAATGGCTTTTAGTGGGAGTCGATAAACCCAAATTACCTATTAAATAAAATAGACCAGAACTTATTATTACTTGCTTGAAATATGATCGTGTCTAAGTAAACCAATATGTGTTTCCTATTTCTTTCTTTAAAGAGGTGAAAAGTTAACATAAAAAGCAATATAAATAAAATTCTAAATCTAATATGCTTTAATAATAATATATAACATCATTTACAAAATAAATTGAAATCTCAAATGTAAAAATGCTTTAACTTTGAATATAGACAACGGAAAAGCCCAAAACACATTTTTATCTTGAAATAAAAATGAATTGTTTCCTTCAATTATACATCTGGAAAAATACTGACAAGAAGAATCACCAAAGAATCTTTGTCTCTATATGTTTTTAAAAGAAATATGAAATTCATATTTACTTGATATACAGTTTAAATAAATCTGATGAATGCACGTGTCAGCTGTTTAATTTTTTGTTGTTTATTTTTTATAGGCGTGTATAAATTTTAGGATTTCTTTATCTTGTTTAATTGAAAGCTATATTGTAAATAAGACATGAAATATGTTACCTTTACAAAATATATAAAGTGTTATTATCATTATTATCATTATAGAATAGTTATAAGACATTGTTATCAAAATTAACATATTTTTTAATTGATTTGTTATCGGTATAGATGGATACCGAAAATAAGCTATTTTCGCGAAAATAAGATCGCGCTACGAAAATAAGATTTATTTTTGAAATAGTGCATTTATCTGTTTAAATAATTATGTAAGTTATATATTTATGCATTCTTTGGATGATTTTACAGCAAATTGAAATTTCAGAACCAAAAAAATATCTAAAAAAGTGCAGTTTGAGCCGAAAATACATACGCACGAATATAGCTCAAATCGCCGTGTGAGCGAAAATAAGATCGGGTCTACGAAAATAAGATTTAATGTTAATATAATGCATTAAAAATGCATTTTTGTTGTTATTAAATGATTTGTATGAACGAAATTATATAGAATGAAATGTTTTGTAATGAAATATTAAACGTTTGTTCGGTAAATATGGTAAATATCCCAAATAGTATAGAAAGAAGGTATGCGAAAATTACCCAAATGGCGACTGCGAAAATAAGATCATACCTTATAAAATTGTATTAATTGCAAAAGTAAATCTTCTCTTATAAAACATGAAAAGGTAGTGGAGTGAAAAAGCATCAAAATAAAAGCAAGAATTCACCAGTGCGAAAAAAAACCCAGAAACAACTACTACAAGAATAAGATCTACTGTATATAGAATATGTACGAAAATAAAATCTATAGTGTACTCTACGAAAATAAGATCTGTAAGACTAGTTTGAAAATAATGTACATTAGAAAATAAGGTTATACGAAAATAAGACCTCTTAGTAAATAATACCTGTATGAAAATAATATATGTATGAAAATACTTATACTTGCACGAAAATAAGATCCAATTGAAAATCATGATGATCTATACGAAAATAAGATCTGTAAACAATAAAACCTGTATGAATTGATATTTGTTAGAAAACAAGATCTAATTGAAAATATGATTTTTGCCAAAAAAAGATATATATACGAAAATGAGCTATGTTTAAAAAAAATACCTGCATAAAAATACTATATGTACGAAAATTAGATCCTATTGAAAATGTGATCTATACGAAAATAAGATCTGTAAAAAAATACTGTATGAATTGATATATCTGCACGGAAATAAGATCTCTGCAAACATAAAATCTGTATGAAAATAATTTTTTTCAAGTAAGATTTTTACAAATATTTTGTATAAGGTCTGTGAATATGAAATACGAAAATAATACAAATGTATTTGTATGAACATAATATCTGTCTCAGAATGATACGAAAAAAAGATCAAAATATGTAAACAATAAGATGTCCAGCTATATGAAAATAAAATATCAATATGGAAATGATTTATACCAAAATAAAAGATAATTTAAAATACGTGTTATATAAAAATAATATCTACATTTAGTAAAAGATCATATATATAACTTTATTGCTTTAGTGCTTTAATTTGATAATGCACGGACAAGACCTTTCTATTTGAGAGAAGGAAAAAAATATACAACGTATGACACGTGCACATGGCTTTCGGCAGCAATCAATGCGCTAATACGATGATTGGATTATTGGATTTTCGCACTTATCGTAATTGACACACACTTATTAAAGCCCATCATTAAAGGTGTTTATTGGCAATTTATCACAGCCACCAATCATACCAAAAATATAGATATCTTATTTTTTACAGATTTTGTTATCATACAGATATATTTTTACACATATCTTATTTTCGTTAAAGATTTTATTTTATAAAGACAGTCATTTTCATATAGAGTCGTTTTTCATATCATTCTGATCCAGATATTATTATCATATAAATATTATTTTCGTATAAATCTTATTCCTATACAGACATTATTTTCGTACAGATGTTATTTTCGTATAAATCTTATTCGAAAACAGATATTATGTTCATACAGATCTTATTTTCGTATTGATCTCATATTCGTGGTATTATTTTCTTACAGATCTTTTTTTCCCGTATAGATCACATTTTCTATAGGATCTTATTTTCGTACATATATAGTATTTTCATACAGGTAATATATTTTTTACATATCTTATTTTCATATGTATCTTATTTTTGTAAGGATATTATTTTCATTTCACAGATCTTACATTTGTAAAATCTTAGTCGAATACAGACATATTTTTCATACAGATCTTATTTTCGTATAGATTTATTTTCAATAGGATCTTATTTTCGTACATATATAGTATTTCCATACAGGTTTTATTTTCAAATAAATATCAATTCATACAGGTTTTAATTGGTTTTACAGACCTTATTTACTAACAGATCTTATTTTCGTAACCTTATTTTCGTATAAATAACATTATTTTCATACAGCTTTTATTTTCATACAGATCTTATTTTCGTAGAGTACTGTTTAGATTTTATTTTCGTACGGTACATATTCTTATATAGATTTAGATCTTATTTTCGTTGTCGTCTTTTCAGGTTATTTTTTGCACTTGTTCTTTCTGTTATTTTGATACTTTTTCACCACAAACATTTATTATCTTATAAGAGAACATTTAATTCTTAAAATTTATTTGCAAAATCATTAAAAATAAAGTTATTACTACATGTATTTTTAATATAAGTTATGAACCATGTAAATCTTATATAGCCTATATTTTCGTAGACGCAATTTTGGTTATATGTTCATGCGCTCTTTCTATAATACATTTGGAATATTTATCCACGGATTTATATTACATATATTTGCCGCACAGACGTCTAATATTTCATTACAAAACATTTCAATCTTTATTATTTCATTCACACAAATCATTTGATAACATCAAAAATACGTTTTAATACATTATATCAAAAATAAATCTTATTTTCGTAGACCCGATCTTATTTTCGCTTTACACGGCAATTTGAACTATTTTCGTGAGAGTATTTTCGGCTCAAACTTCACTTATTAAAATATTTTTTTTTGTTCTGAAATTTTAATTTGCTGTAAAATCATTCAATGAATGCATAAGTATATTACTTACATAATTATTCAAACAGATAAATGCACTATTTCAAAAATAAATCTTATTTTCGTAGCCGCTATCTTATTTTCGCGAAAATAGCTTATTTTCGGTATCCATCTATACCCATTTGTTATCATTAAAAAAGCGAATCGATACAAACACGTTAAAATTTGTCTGTCCACGAGCGTTTTCATTTTCAATCGCATTGTAGATAGTTCTAAATAATGTATCATATTTTGAAAGATTTCTTCGGATTCACAAGATTTGTCTTAGTAGTATTTGCTTATGCTTTTCGGTTGTTTAGTTTACGCATGCGCAAAGATTAAAACGCACACCGCGCGATCAACAAAGAAAATAAAGTGAAAAAACACTCGATAATATGGCGGTTTGTATAGATTATTACATATGAAAGCTTTAAAATTAGTATATCAAAACTAACATTCATGTTCACCTTGTTTTAAAAAATTAGTTTTCATGTATTGACAAATGTTATACGTTTTCGCGAACCGGTAAACGACCATCAATTTTTAATTTGCTTTGTTGCACAGTTTCTCTTAATATTATCAGTTTACGCGCACATACTATTGTTTCATGCTCCAGTCCAATCGTAGTTGACACTGTCCATCCTACTACAGTAAAAACTCGCTTTACGACCACCCCGTTTTCGAGACCAACCCGCTAATACGAACGATTTTTTAAAGACCCGAATTTTTTATTCTTTATTTTAATGGTCGCTAACCCCGATTTTGAGACCACCCCGTTATTCCGTAATGCGACCAGTAAATTCAGTCCCATTTTGTAAATTCTGTACATTTGGAAACCCATAAATACGACCGCGGGCACTTTCTCACCTTGATATTGACATGCGTGTATATTGCTGAAATCATTTTGACACGTGATGTAAACAACAGTTGTCCTAGTTTTACGACATTTAACGACATCCAGTTTACGGCAGAGGTCAAGGTTGCTTTGTATCAAACCCGGAAATGATCAATAATATTGTCGATAATTTCTTAATTTCACACCTTTAATCAGTTTAATGTCATAACTGGGGGATTAAAACAACAAAGTATTGAACAGAAAACTTTCAATAAGTTTTTTAGAGGTGTTGCTGCTATCATTATCTCTTTCGTTCCATAATTTTAAACAAATACGATTAGGTTTTTGAAGTTGTTATCGGCGATGAAAACTGTGAAAATAATTAAAGGTTAATTGTTCGGTGTGCTTTGTAGTAAAATGGTGATTTAATAGAGTAAGTCGTGTCATTCTTTTAACAAGAATGTAAAAATATGTTTGTGTTTAAAGACATTCATAATACATTTTGTACCTCTAAAGAAGTTTAAAAATTTTATAATGTTAAAAAGTAAAAGAAAATAAATGAAAATAAAAAAATAATAGTGTATGCTTTATATCTTCTCATTTGAAATAGGTTAGCCCAGAATTAAACATGTGTACAGTACATGGTATCCCTTAATATATTGCCTAGTTTTCTGTTTGGCCAAACTCATTAATGAGACCAACCCGCTATTAAGACCAGATTTGTAAAGTCCCTTCATTGGTCTCATTAGCGAGTTTTTACTGTACTTAAGTCTTCTTGGGGAAATGAGACATTTGTTTTCCAGCCTCAGGTTGGGATATTCGGCTGTGATATTAATAGACCCCGGGGTATATCTATCTTCCATTTATGTCAAACCTGTTGTGGGAACGTAGACATAACTCTAGACAAGTCACTTCAGAGACCACTATGAGATACAAGGGAATCTGGGAGCCAATCCCTAGCTCTTAATGATAACTGAATAGACCCCTTGGTTCTTTTACTTGTTCAGTGTACAGCATTGATAATTACATGCAAGGATAACCTTGATTTCTTACCAGTTCACCTCTGATTATGTGGGAAACACTGAAAGTGTTTCTGTAAAATCCTAAGGGTGCTACCCAGGATCGAACCCGCGACCTCCGAGTGACAGTCTGTGGTCTAACCAACTGAGCTATCAAGCCACCTTTATATAAGGTTCATTTCGTTTTCTTTTATATAAGGTTCATTTTGTTTTCTTTAGTTATTGAAAATATATACAAAGTTTTTTCCTCAAATATACAGAGGAAATACTTAATTAAATAAACATTATTCACATTCTGGAGACTTCCATCTGAACCATGGAAAAAATAAGCTGACATTTCTATGAATTATGCTATTTTCACTGGAAAATAATCACCCATCAGCATTTCTGAAAGAAAGTAGGCCTGGTCAAAATATCTGTTTTGGAATCCAGACGGTCCAGTTAAGTGTCAAGGTTCCATGCTTTATAAAATCTTTATGTTAAATTGTTAATTTTTTTGCAAAATGCTGATCATTCATCTTTATGCTTAAAATTTCCCGATGTGTCATTACACAATATTGTGTAAGGCAGGATATTCGATTGTAGTTGGTGTAAAAAGCTTATCAGAGCTTATGTTTACTTTACTTTAATTGTCACCTGTTAAATCAGTGATAAACAATCAGCAACTTTATTTCAATATATGTGACGCGCTCAGCGATTTTTGGCCCAATTGAGTTTTCAATCATTGTGAGAAAAACGCTTGAAAAGTCACGCGAGTTTTCATGTCTTAATTTTTAGGGTTTCCCTTCAAAACAGAGTATCTTTGAAAGTTTAAAGAATAAAATAAATTAGAAAAAAATCAAAAATACTTTTTGAACAGGCAGAACAGCCCTTCTCAGCTTCCACGATAAACATTTCCCAAAAATCTATATTTAGAATAAATACACTGTGTAAACTCAGGAGCCAGATCAGCGAGTAAACACATGTAGATTTACTACCTTTTACGTCATGTTACTGCATACTTGGAGGTTTAAATAAATTTTAAGGTAAGTGCATCTTTTATTATTTATGCTATTTTTGTTCATTATTTGTTTCTGATATGTTGAATATGAATAACCATCGTATTTTTACTTTAAACAATTAAATAAATGGGACCATGTCACTTGAACTGGTTTATATAAAAAAAACATGGCAGGCATCTAGGTCAGGTCATGACAGACACATTTTTTGGGATACATTGTTTATTGCACTCGATTTGTATTTGTCATGGTCTTTATAGAAAGTTATTGTTAACTTTTTTCTAAATTAGACATTGATTACATTACAAAATAAATTGAAGTCTAGGCTGCAATGAAAAAAAAAAAACAAAAACAAAAGTTGCCACTTCATTTTTTTCTACATCACTATGACAAAAAATGTAACTGGACTTAGGCCTATTACATATTTTGCAGTTTGTTTACAACGAATGAGTTTGATATAGATCTACATCAAATAGATTTATACTGTATAAAATATTTCTAAAAAAGGAACTATACTGTATATATGACAAGGCTACAGTACTGTAATTATTGACAAATGAATTTTTATTACAATTCAAGATCAATTAAGTGCTGCTTTTGAAATACAATAAATAGATCTAGTACTGTGATTGAAGTTGTCGTCATAGATAAATATTAAAATGCATTTATTATTATTAGCCCTTTGCCTTTGGTAGTATCTACAATAAATCATATTATATTCACATTACTCATACCACACAGCATATTCTACCAACAGGGCTTCCATTAAGTTCCAAACATTGGCAGTCAAAGACTGCAAAATGTCTGTAATTGGAAGTCACTTTGTAGGTAAAGAAGGAAAAGCATTACATTTTGGAAGCCAAAATCAAGATGTAAATGACTCCCAAACTTAAATAACAGAAGCCCTGCTACCAAAATATTTTTAAATTATGAGCCAGCACTTTTTGCTGATGAAATATTTTGTGTTGTTGTTTTAGGTCTGACAGCCAACATACATTTAAGATCTTCAACTTAGTTCATCAGAGTTTGAAGTAGATAATATGATTATCCAGCATGTTGCAGCCATATTATTCAAGGAAATGTACTGGTAAGTGTTTTGATACTTGGTTTAAAGATCAAATGATGTACTATGATTGTAATCATTGTATACATATGTAAATAATCATCATAAACTGACCATTCTCAACCCTTTTTATCAAATAATGATAATGGTAAATTTCCTGAATTGCAGTTGAAAGTAATGTAACTTATTTGCATTTTAGCATTTTATATATGATGTCAGATGAGATCTTAAAAATATTGTTTTAAAATACTCTGTACAGTAAAATGACTAAATTTTAAGTTTATATTTAGAAATAAAGCTGTATTGTTTTATGCAAATACTCTGTCAATAATGTTAAGCTCTTAAAGTATATATACATAATTTTCAGAAGACATAGACAGTTCGATCACCTATTTGCTGATGAATATACTAAACTATTGTTTGAAATGAGGCACAATGTGTGACATAGTTCGATGCCCTATTGAGCAGCAGGGTTATGGAGTTAAAAAGATCAACTGTACTGTATTGGTCAAGATAAAAAAAAAACACTTCAATTGGGTAAGCATGTATATTTATGCAATATTCCACATTCTTTTTACTTTTGAAATAAAGAGTGCTGTGTTGCCACCACAATACATGCACATAATGTAGATTCAGATTATTTTAGTCATGTTCAAGATGACTGTTACTGCCACTTGTACATGATATATAGACTGTAATATATTACACAAGAACTTACATGATGAACAAGACCTTATATGAACCCAATAGCTGTGCAACACTATACAACAATTTACTTATAGTTCATTTATGTTCAGTCAAATATCATATACACTATATTGTAGTTAAATCATCAGATACACTATATTGTTTCATTTATACTTATTCAGGTTTTTGTTATTTCAGGATGGCATGTGAGAAGTCAGTGACTTGTCTATGTCTGCAGTATACCAAAAGTGAAATACATTCTCATAGAATTTGTCTTTAGAAGTATCCCTGAAAAAGCTGAATACTGCAGTTGCAGGTGTTACTGTATTTTTACTTAATTGTGAAACAAGTTTTTGCAAGTTTTATATATGAATCACTTTTTGCTTACAAAAACTGAAGGCATTTGAGGAGACATAGTTGCTATTACCCTGTTTGGGTCAAACCCTCAACATGGTGTTGCAAGACTATAAGTCAAGTACATAAAGGAGCTGTCATTTGTGACTTCCCATGTGATTGCAAGAATCTGCTATTGTAATTGTTTTAAATTCATTGAAATTATATCATTTTAAAAATATACTAATATGTTATTCATATTATACAATTTAAAATACACTGATCAGAATATGATTACACTGTCAATATCTGTAACTGAAAATTAAGTCAAGAACAGAACTAGTGCAAGCTCTTTCTATTTTTTTTTGGTTACATTTCTGAAAGACTTTTGAAGTTATTGTGAAATGGAATATTTTTTTTATAAAATGCAATTATTTTTAATAATTCAGTTATTTTTGCCTTTTTTGTTACCATGGCAACCAAAATACACCATTTTTGCAATCAGTGCATTAAACAATATTTGTTTTGCATTGGATACAAATTTTATTGGATTCATATTTTATATGCTATCATGTTATAGATGTGCATTTTAAAGTTGACTAACTTAATTTATGATATTCTTCTTAATCATGGAAAAGTTACTGAAATTCTGAGAATTTAATTCTTATGTTTAAAGCTATTAAGGGAAAAAAGAAAAATCCTTTTTTTTTTGGAAAAGTCTTTAATATTGTTGTCTTTTAATATAATATATGCATTAATTTGGTGATGAACTAATCATGTTAAGTGCAAAATATTGCATTTGATAATTTTTTTTGTTGCCATGGCAACCGATTTTTAAAACAAGCGATAGTTTTTATATTAAGATATTACATATATTACACTAAGATGAATGATCACTTTATTTTTTTTTATTTTATTGTGTATAACTATGGAATTATTTCTAATTTGTATATACCAATAAAAGTTAAAAATGTATTTTTTGTTGTTATGGTGATGTCATACAAATTAGAATATTTCATTAAATATCAAGTATTTTTTAAAAATAATTGTTTCAAGCTATTCAGCAGATGTTGGTGTACCACAAACTAGTCATAACTCATTTTCGCCAAAATATCACATTTGGGCCAAAAATCGCTGAGCTTGTCACATATTTTTTTCACATAAATATAAACACATAAATTTATTTTTAAGAAGTGTTAAATGCTTCTCAGTTATCTGTTATTTTATTCAAATAACATCTAGCCAGAATAAAATCCTGATGTGATAATTGTTAAGAATTTGCCATGGCAGTTAAATTGCATCAATTCACAGGCAGTCAAAGGGTAAAGGTGTCAAAATTTTTGGACAATAAATCTTGTCAACATCTCTAAATTATAGTAAATAACCAGTTCGGTATATATAATACATGCCAGACATTTGCTGATATTAAATTACATTTTGCTTTTATAATTATAGTCTGCGTGTAATTAAAGTTTGTTGCAAAATCCATTGGATAAATACATGTTATTGTAAAATTACATTATATTTATATCATACATGTGACAAATGAAATGGGCCAAATCTGGATTTTCAGCTGGATTTTGAGGCTCAAAACTGGATTTTTTTATCGACTCGAATTTCAATGCGTGTTTGGCACATTTGGTTCAAAGAATCTATATCACCCTCAAAATCATTAAATGATTATACTTTTTATGATTTTTTTTGTTGATCAATATTAATTTATTTCACCAAAAAAAAAATTAAATAAATAAATAAGTGTAGTCATACAGGCTATTTCTAAAACAGTCACACTTTCACATTTCATTATTTTCAGTTTGAAGAATTATATGTCTTTTCAGTCATTCAATAATTAAACACAAGCTATTTGAAAACGTGCAACAACTATTCATGAACATAAGACTATGACAGTTAAATAACGTAACATAAGTAGAAGACTCAAAATAAATGCAAGAATCGTTCCGTTAATTAAATCCACATTTTTGCCTCGATGATTGTGTAATTCCTAAACAAAACAAAAAATTACCCATTCACTAAAAATAGGTTAATTAGACATCTGAAACAGGTTTTGAATGATCCACTTTAAATGATTCTGCTCGCCTTTTATCTTTATCAGTGCGGCACTAATCAAAGAAAATCAAAGATTGAGCCGAAATCATACATGTAAATTTACAGGGTAGTTTTGATGACGTAGCGTAGCGATAATACCTACTGCCAAATTACAAAAGAGGTCAATTGACTGACACACGACACGTGATAAGTTAAACATGTGAGAATAACTTTGGGTATTGGAACTGTTTATTACGTCACCTTGCTGTCAATTAGCGACTCAACATTTAATCCGCTATAATTTAGGATATGGACAGATAACAATCAATGCCCGGAGGCTTGGTGTACATTTTAGATACAGGTAGATACAGTAGATTTTTATGCCCCCACAATGTGGGAGCATATAGCGTTGCACTTGTCCGTCCGTCCGTCAGTCCGTCCGTACGTCCCGAAATCTTGTGAACGCAACTCCTCTTAAACCGGATGGCAGATTTTGCTTAAACTTACAGGGATGAACAACCTTAATGTGTAGATGGTAGTAAAGGAAGGAATTTTCGCTGCGACCAAATTTAACAGAATTATGGCCCTTTGTTGATTTTTTCACTAGATACTATGTAGAAATTTTGTGAACGCAACTCCTCTTAAACCGGATGGCAGATTTTGCTTAAACTTACAGGGATGAACAACCTTAAGGTGTAGATGGTAGTAAAGGAAGGAATTTTTTCTGCGACCAAATTTAACAGAATTATGGCCCTTTGTTGATTTTTTCACTATATACTATGTAGAAATTTTGTGAACGCAACTCCTCTTAAACCGGATATCAGATACTGCTTAAACTTACAGGGATGAACAACCTTAAGGTGTAGATGGCAGTAAAGGAAGGAATTTTTGCTGCGACCAAATTTAACAGAATTATGGCCCTTTGTTGATTTTTTCACTCTATACTATGTAGAAATTTTGTGAACGCAACTCCTCTTAAACCAGATGGCAGATTTTGCTTAAACTTACAGGGATGAACAACCTTAAGGTGTAGATGGTAGTAAAGGAAGGAATTTTTGCTACGACCAAATTTTACAGAATTATGGCCCTTTGTTGATTTTTTCACTATATACTATGTAGAAATTTTGTGAATGCAACTCCTCTTAAACCTGATGGCAGATTTTTCTTAAACTTCCAGGGATGAACAACCTTAATGTGTAGATGGTAGTAAAGGAAGGAATTTTTGCTGCGACCAAATTTAACAGAATTATGGCACTTTGTTGATTTTTTCATTATATACTATATAGAAATTTTTGTGAACGCAACTCCTCTTAAACCGGATGGCAGATTTTGCTTAAACTTCCAGGGATTAACAACCTTAATGTGTAGATCGTAGTAAAGGAAGGATTTTTTTTTGCTGCGACCAAATTTAACAGAATTATGGCCCTTTGTTGATTTTTAGTTTTCAACTTGTGGCACATGTAGTTCAAAAAAATATTTGACCTAGAGTCATAAGATTGACAGAACAGTGGCGTGTGGGGGCATCAGTGTCCTATGGACACATTTCTAGTTTTTATGTTGATTTTTTTTTTAAATATCGAGAATTCAAGCTGTAATATCGGGAATCGGGATCAGTGTTGAAATATCGGGATTTTTTTAAATCCCGCCGGGATGTCACATGTATGTTATATATTCATTTTTGAATTGTTTTAAATTTTCAGTCACTTCCTATGAACCCAAAGCCATTTTTGAATGGTCTTACAGGAAAACCAGTTTTAGTGAAGCTGAAGTGGGGCATGGAGTACAAAGGTTACCTGGTTTCAGTAGATGGTTATATGAACTTGCAGGTAAAAACCAAAGTTTGAAACAATAATTAATTATATGGAATTATTTATTCATAGGTAAAAGCTCAAAACATTCAAGCAACAAGAGATATGACCACCATTGTAAACTTTATTTGCAGAAATTGACATTAATGAATCCATAAATGTTGTCAATTGAAACATTTTAATTGTCTTTAGATGACATATTGACAAACCTACATTAACAAGTGCTATTCCATTTTATAACGACGGTTATGAATAAATGGTGAATCAAAATAGATGAATCTACTTACATGTTTATTGTTTGACATAAGCAGGCAGCGTTTTTGTGCCCCCATGTTAGTGGCGGTCATTTAGATTTACCCTTGTCCGTCCGTTCACTTTTGTGTGGCACGTAACTCAAAAAGTATTTGACCTAGAGTCATGAAACTTTACAAGAATGTTGATCAGCATGTGCAGTTGTGCACCTGGGTATTTTGGTCTGGATATTTTTAGTATTTTCAGAGTTATTGCCCTTGACTCAGTAAAATTTTGCAATTTTCAACTTGTGTCGCATGTAACTCAAAAGTATTTGACCTACAGTCATGAAACTTTACAGGAATGTTGATCAGCATGTGTAGTTGTGCACCTGGGTATTTTCGTGTGCATATTTTTAGTATTTTCAGAGTTATTGCCCTTGACTTAGTAAAATTTGGCAATTTTCAACATGTGTCGCACGTAACTCAAAAAGTATTTGACCTAGAGTCATGTAACTTTACAGGAATATTGATCAGCATGTGCAGTTGTGCACCAGGTATTTTCGTCTGGATTTATTTAGTATTTTTAGAGTTATTGCCCTTCACTTACAATTTTTTTGCAATTTTCAACTTGTGTCGCAAGTTTCTCAAAAAGGATTTGACAAGGTCATTAAACCTTATGGGCAGGTTGCTCAGCATATTTTAGATTTGCACCTGGGGTTTCGCTTGTGGATTTATTCAAGTATTTGTACAGTTATTTCCCTTGACTTAGTAAAAAGATTGACAGAACAGTGGGAAAATTGGGATTTTTTTATGCATTTTTTCAGCTACAAATCAGATAAAGTCATCATGAATAAAGATACCCAACAGCTTCCATTGTCTAGGTAAAACTATTGAGTGGTGATTTATACGAATATGTCGGATTTAAATGATTTCAGAGAAATCACTTGGCCTTGTGGGAATTTTGAACAGCCATTTTGGGAATTTAAACATTGGAAATTGGGAATTTTAATGTCTATTTTCTATTGGGAACAGTACCGTTTTAGGGTAGTAGTTATATAAAGGAAAAAAACACTGGCAGGTGTTCCTAAATTTTATCATTTTCATACATTTAGTGTCCAGCTTTATTTGTCATCCAATGAAAACGGTGTATTTCTTAAAAGTTATGTGTGCTAATATTCATAGAAGAAAAAAAATCGATATTATATTGAAATCCGTTCATAGTCGCCTTCTATTTTTCATAGTGTTTCATAAAACCGCGCAGTGACGTCATCAAGGGCCAAATGAAGCTTGACACTAAATATGTTGGTGTTCATCCGTAGCTGTTCTACAGAAATTAGAAACATTCTCCTGTCGCTCTTGCTCCCGTCAAAGTTTCTAATTTCTGTATAACAGCACGGATGAACACTAACATATACATGGTAAATTTTGCATTTAAATCAAGTGTACTTCATTTTCAATTCCAACATGTCACTATTTTTGTTACAGCTGGCAAACACTGAAGAGCTGATTGATGGAGCCCTTACCGGAAATTTGGGAGAAGTTTTAATCAGGTAACAACTAAAAATTATTTTTATAAAGCTTTTTCCAGGTCTTTCATGTGTGTATGTACGGTATTTTATTATAGGCTATTCTGCAATAATAGTCTGTTCAGCCAGTTTCTAAGAGGTTATCTTCTGCTTATTTTACTGTTAGATAATTACTGGTAAAGGTAATATAATATTGAACTGTACAATACAGGAATATATTTGGACAAATATCATATAAGATGAGCTGCCAGGCGATTGCAGTATGCTTTCTCATGCAGCAGCAAGTCCTCACACCAGTATCAAGCATTTAACAGGACTAGTTAGTAGTATGTTAATATGCCAATTTTATCTATATAATATTAGTGATGTTCCGATTGTCGCAAGTCGCCAATAATCAGTTCCTGTTATGTAAAGCGACAATAATCGATTCACAAAAATTTGTTCCGCGATGTCGTGGAAAATGTTTAAAGTATCAAAGGGAATTAATTCTGACGGTAATTTTCTTTTAGGAACACCTCACCGATCGCAAAAATCATCTCAGAGGCAATTTGGAGTTGAACAGGCTCAATAAGTGATGTAAACAATAGTAATATAATCATTATAATGTGATGTGAATGTTATTATTTGACATCCATTGAAAAATAAAATCTATTTCGTAAAATTATGACTATATAAGTTTAAAACTGTGTTGAAAAGTGCTAAATGAAGTTTATGTTGCTGAATATAATCAAGTGCCTTGGGATGAAATGTAACTTCCCTATTTCGTTTTAACGCGGCTTTATTCGAAAAGTTATCGATTATGTCCCATCCGACTGAACCGATGATCGATTCAGACAAATTTCATCCGATTTCCATCACTATATAATATTCAATATTTATTAGGGAAAAGCAATTTGTGATAAAATATATTCTGAGAAGAAAAGTTTTGTCCAAGATGCTTAGATTAATCTTGTAATCTTACATAGATTAATTGGGGCACTTAAAACAGACAAATATTAAAAAGTTGGTAAGATATATAACTAGAGTTGAATTGAAATTTGATAATAAGTGTGACTCTTATGTCTTTTAGTTGAAGGTGTTTTGAACAATTTTCATTTTTAGGCTGTATTGCAATTAAAAAATGATTATTCTGGAAAAATGTATTAAGCAGATGATGTAAAATCTCGCACACAAGTAATTTGTATAGAGTTACCTACATCACGTGGTACAAAACTAAAAAAAATAAATAAAAAAATTCGGTCCTATCAGAAGAAATAAATAAAGAAAATTTATAGCTCATAGCCACTTAACTGTTAAATATATAATTATGATATATTGGATTGTATCGTGTAAAACACATGGTGAAATTCTAAAGCGATGAATGAATCGTCAAAATAAATAGTGTAGAATAATCATCTGTATTTGTTTTAAGATTTTGTTTATTCTATTTTTTTCAGGTGTAATAATGTTTTGTATGTACGAGGTGTAGAGGAAGAAGATGAAGAAGGTGAAATGAAAGATTGAACAAACTGACAGTTTTAAGAATGTAAATAGTTATGAAAAAAAGGTTTATTTTAATTCTCTGAAACTGGGATCAATTTTATAATGATAATTGGATAAAAAAAAAGAATTGTGCGATAACAGTGTGTGTTTTAATATTTCAAATGCCAGGAAAAGTTGCTTGAAAAGTTGAAAACAGTGTGAAATATGCCAATATTGAGTTATTTGGAATATATTCTACCTGCTGAGTCACAGATGAAGAAATTGTTAACTGGACTTCAACAGAAAGTATGAAGTGTTAACTGTACGTTTCCCTGTACGTCAATGCTCCAGAGTGGGTTATGTACAGTATTGGAAGAAGAAGAACTACTGGCAAAAATTTCTTCGGACAAATTAGAATAGCTCTAGCTTTAAAACATTTTCTTGCAGGGGTAAAATTATAATATCAGTTTATTAAAAAATTTATTTTCTCAATGATGAGTTGATAGGGTTACCTTTTGTTTAAAAAAAAATCTGTTTATGTTAATGGTTTTGTGATTTATTCTGTCAATACAACAGTTGATCTGTGTTCAAGGCAATTTGCAATTTATATGCTATTGTATACTACAAAATATAATTTGCTAAATGTTTTTTGCAAAAAAATAAATTTCTTACATCCCATAATTCATAGCCTTTTAACATTTCAACTACTACTTTAAAAACATTACGAATTCCTTTATTATTTTGCCTTATAATAAATAATAAGTGGCAAATGTTAAAGAGTAGACACATGAAATTACTTCGAGTGTTTAGATCATTGTAAAAAAATCATCTCATTTTCATTGTTGTTTTGTACAAAATAAAAAAAAGTAACTTCTAGCTCTTGTTTTATGCCATGTCTATTCTTCATTAAATGACCTATGCTGCAGGAAGGCTGTAATATCTATTGGAAAATGAGTAGTGGTGTGGCCAAGTAGTTAATATGTTGGACTAGTAATCATAAAGATTGCTGGCTGCGTAGGTTCAAACTCCGTCAGGAGCAAGCTGTTTTTTCCATGATCAAGAAACTCATTGGTTCGAGGAATGGTTAGCTTATTATAGCTTCCAACACAAACTAAAATAAATTAGTATAATAACTATTGAAAAACGATACAATACATGCATCTCCTACAAAGGGGCCCTCTGTACAGTAATAATTTCTTCCCAACCAAGGAAGACATCAGTATTTGGAAATATTGAAAAAGATAACTGTAAGGATTACCCTGTGAACATGATATTAATCATTCCCCTGGGGTCAATGTTGGCTTACCCTGGGGTCACTTGGTTTATATAAACTTATATAGGAAAACTCATTGTGTTAGACTACACAGCCCAGAGCTTAGATATTTTGCATGGAGCATCAGTTTGTAGATTTTTACAAAAGTTATACAGTTGTACTTATCATGACCCTCAGGTCAAAATTGGCCCAGTGCCTTGGAAGTCACTTGCCTTTACTATGTAGACTAAGGTATAGAAAACACAAATACAATTCCTCTATATTTGGCATATATTGCTTAGTAGGCATCTGTAAAAGTTTTATGAATTAAAAAAATGCCTCCACCTTGGAGGTCATATAGTATCATAGTTTCTTGATTGGGTCTCTACCCAAATGAAAGATTATTTTTTGATAACTCAAACAAAATTTAATACATTCAGGCGTATATAGCCCCGCCTTTGAGGTTTCTATTAAATTTTGAGCAGCCACTTGCATGGATGAAGTCAACCCTTGAATCACTTGCATCATTAGTAACAACTATATTGAAATTTGCTCTACATGTTAATCCCCAATGCAAGTTTATATTTTTTGTTTTACACGGCACCAAAATGGTAAACATACAGATATTTTCCAGCTTAACTAGTGGAGATAGACCTTGGGTGCTCCTTCATGTATTATATCAGGCATTAATGGGTACCTATGTGGAACAACCAACATTTACTTAGCTTGCTGGATAGCTTCTTCACATAAAAGAATCCAAAGTCCCAGATGAGACTCTAACCCACAGCAGTGAGGGGTTGGTGGTACCTGTGAAGTATTTAAAGGATTATTTAATTATACTTTTCAAAATTTGATGGGAACCATTTAGGGAAACCAAGCTAAGTAACTATTAAAATCCATGGAAAAAGTGATACCCATAAGTGTGCACCAACGGCTTATACATTATTTTACTTTCATGACTTGTCTACATCCCTTAATGGCTTATATTCAAACTTTGCTTGTGTAACTTTCAAAGCTAGCTTTGGGTATGGCTTACTTCAAACAAGAAATGTCGAACAACACATGCCCCTGTCTAGCCCTTGACTCACATTATTGGTAATTTTGTTAGAGAAACTTGCCAAAAATAGGTACCTTGAAGTATTAAATTATGGAAAAAAGAAAATAATGAAGACTTCGCGATAAATAGTTTTCAAGATAATGAGACATTTAAGGCCCCTGTGACGTTGACCTTTGACCTGGTGACCCCAAAATCAATAGGGGTCATCTACTAGTTATGACCAATCAATATGTGAAATATGAAGACTTTGTGATAAATAGTAACCAAGATAATAAGCGGAAATCATATTAACATTCAAGGCCTCTGTGACCTTGACCTTTGGCCTAGTGACCCCAAAATCAGTAAGGGTCATCTACTAGTTATGACCAATCAATATGTGAAATATGAAGACTTTGTGATGAATTGTAACCATAATAATAAGCAGAAATCATTCTAACATTTAAGACCCCTGTGACCTTTGATTTAGTGACCCAAAATCGATATGGGTCATCTACTAGTTATGACCAATCAATATATGAAATATGTAGACTTTGTGATGAATACTTTTCATAATAAATCAGTGGAAACCATTCAGACATTTAAGGCCCCTGTAAACTTTGACCTAGTGACCCTAAAATAAAAAGGGGTCAACTACTAGTTATAACCAATCAATATGTGAAATATGAAGACTTTGTGATAAAGAGTAACCATAATAATAAGCGGAAATCATATTACCATTCAAGGCCCTGTGACTTTGACCTAGTGACCCCAAAATCAATAGGGGTCATCTACTAGTTATGACCAATCAATATGTGAAATATGAAGATTTTACGATTAATTGTAACCAAGATAATGAGCGGAAACCATTCTGACATTTGAGGCCCCTTTGACCTAATGACCCCAAAATCAATAGGGGTCATCTACTAGTTATGACCAATCTATATGTGAACTATGAAGACTTTGTGATAAATACTTTTAAAGATAATCAGCGGAAACCATTCTGACATTTAAGGCTCCTATGACCTAGGGACCCCAAAATCAATAGAGGTCAGAAACTATCTTCATAGAGCTAGCACAAGGGCCAAACAACCAATAATCCGCATTTTGTTGACGCAAAACCACATGGAATAATGGGCTCAAATCCCAAAACAAAGCATGCAAAGGCTTATTAGCAGTATGAGAAAGCGATGCCAAGATGTAATCCACACGATACTAAAGGGAAATTGAGGCACCCTACTTAATTTTTCTAAAAAGCCTCATTTTATAAACCTTTTTCGCGTTATCCCCAACTATATGACCTCCCCTGTTTCAACTGTGTTTCACTATAACAGTTTGTAGGCTCATTTCTTTTATTTGGCACAAAGCTGTTTTTCAGAATGGCAGCAAATATTTTAACCTTAACTTAAAGGGACTCCACTGAGGTTTAAAAGTCTTAAAACATAACATTTGAATTTCTTACATAAATGAGCTGGGGCATTTTAAACAGAAATATATGCAAAGATAGTTAAGAAATATACTTTGAAATAAATTGAAAAATTTTGTATTTTTTAAGCTTTTCTTAGCCCGATTTGAGTGAAAAGCATTTAAACGCTTTTCATTTTGGGTCATTTTTTTAAAATTTGAATAATTATTCTGGAAAAACGAAGTGTGCAAATGATCTGTAATTTTGTTCAAAGATTATTGGTCTAAACCTACATCAAATGGTACATTTATCGGGAAAAAATATTTTCAGTCCCATCATATCAAAAAACCCTCAGAGGAGTCCCTTTAATCTACAAAATAAACACAATCTTGTGACCTCTTCAAATTTTGAGCAGTAAAGTTCATATTACATGAAACTTCATCTGAATAATAATTTTAACTACCAGTAAAATGCAATTTTACCAGCATAATGTAGCCAGTATGTTTTAGAACCTCATTAATCAGTATTTCAGGAGTTATCACCCTTCAATGGAAGAAAATGTTTGCAATTTCATCAGCATAATGAAATCTGCTATGTTTTGGAATGTCATTCAATTAAGTAGCCTAACTAATTTGGGGTGAATGGTTTGACCCATTTTAAAGATTATTTAACTATCAATTTAGTATTTCAAAGTTATTGAAAGTCAATTATTGGATTTTCTTGTTGAGTGAAATATAAGTTAAGCATTTTTACATACAAATAGCTTATTTTCTTGCATAGCAGTGAAGACAACTAGAACGGCAATATATGAAGTATACCTTTTAAATAGACAGGAACAACAGATATTTAATTAAACAGACTTTTCAGTTTCAAAATATTTTATTCTGAATGAATTTGTACATAAAAACAAGAAAATCTTTGTATAAAAGCAGCTTCTCCATCCTTTCTTCACCTGAAAATATACAAAATATCCTCTATATTCCTCTATTTCCCCAGTGAGACCAATGCTGTAATGTTAAAAACATAGCCGCCAGGACTGTATAAACAGCAAAATCATAGATATTCAGGCCAAGATAACATTCAGTTGTAAATAAGAGAGAACAATGTGACATTGCCTTCTTAAATTTTGTTAGTTTGTTTGATTTTAGGACACAGTGACACTGCAAAGGTCATATGGTACCCAGGTGTCCCTTCGTGCCTTATTTCAGGCACCAGAGAAGAATCCCCTTCATTCTATAACCTGGTTGCATAGTTTCTTCACAATCATGATGATTTAGAATTCAAAGTCAATACCCACCACAGTGAGGGGCCCCTTCTTCAGATTATAATATATTATTACATGCCTCTCGGTGGTTTATAGAAATACATCAGTGATATAAAACTGGTAATTTCACTGTTTTAAACAGTGAAATTATCAATTTGATAATTTCACTG